AATTACTTGATAATGATGAGTATATTTTGAAAAGAGATCATATGGAGAATAATATGGATGAGGAAAAGAGAAGAATGGGGAGAGTTCACCTTGCAAAGAATTAAGGAGATCCGGAGGCTAGGGCATGTCAGCGGCGTCGACTAGGGCATGTCGGCGGCGTCGACTAGGGCATGTCGGCGGTGTCGACTAGGGTTGGTGACCGGTGGGAGAGAGAAGGAAATGTGTTCGACAATCGGAACTTCTTGTGACAGCTGAGAGCACTTGAAGATTAGTGTGGGTTCGGGAGGGTTTTGTCGGAGAGAAAGACTATAGGGCATTTTAGAAAGCCAAATACTGTTTTAGATGGTAGGTTTATAAATAAGCAAGTTTAAATGTCAGATAAGTAAATAGAGAACTTTTGGGTGTTAGGTATGTAAAAACCCCTTATATTAATTATGTCAAACTCACATGCACATCATTTAAGTAAGATTCTAACCCAAAGCCTCTTATTTGTTAGCCAAATCTTTCAACCAACGAATCAAGGTGAGCTGCATAAGTAGGCAGTACTTAACAATGATCTTTAGTTTGTATTGTATTTGATGAGTTATTATAAAGTTTCATTTGATTAACATAATTTTTTAAAGGAAATTTTAGGGCTTAAAGCACTTATATGAGATCAATCATTTAAAATAAATTTTAATAAATTAATTTTAAGATTAAACAAACTCTAAAATTTGTAAACTTAGGCTTCATTTGTGATAACTATCTCATTATTTTCTGAAGTAGTTTTTTGATATAATTTTTTTTCGTTCAATAAATTTGTGTGTTAAAAAACTAATTTAAAATGTAATAATAAAGATATCCCAAAAGAAGCCTAATTTTTTAAAGGACCATCTATTCACTGGGAATATTAACGACAATAAGAATATGTTGATATGTATTGAGCTATTCTATATTTTATTTCCTCTATCGTGCAAAAAGAGTTGGATACATATGCAAGGATTGTTAGTAGGCTATTATGGTGTTGAGTTATAATAAGGGGCATTTGTTTTAGTGTAGTTCATCCACCTTGATAAGAATTTCTTAGAGTTATCAATAGACTTTTTGATTCACTAGTCATTAATGACATTGAATTATTTTAATGAAATCATTTTTTTCAATAATATAGTGGTCAACTATCATCATTTTTATTGACTATAAAATTCAACCATGTACATTTGTGAAATTATTGTGACATTCATAATATTTTAATTCATAAAATATTTGTGATACTGTATTGATGTCAAATACTATGACATTTTTGTAGTAAGATTATGATATTTAATCACTTTTTTTTTATCATTTTTTTTATTTTTTAAACTTGTTAGAATTATTCTAATCAATTTGATGGTTGAAATTTTGATCCCAAAACTCCATTGGACTTTATGGTTTTAAATGCTTCAAAATTATATATAGTGTTCGCTATAGATAGTCTTTTAGTGGTAACTAGGTATCATCATATCATTGCTTGTCTTTAGTCAGTTGCCTAATCTATCTCCAAGAATATTAATTTTATTTCCCAAATGACATGATCAACAAGATGTTTTTTGATCAGAGGAGGCATAATCTGGTGCATATATTTTTTATTAGAATAAATAATATTTTGAAATTATTTTAGATAATGATTAAAATACCCCCTCAAATATTATAAATAAACTCTAGTTATATTTTTTATTTCAAAGGATAATTCTTGGGTCATGGATAATTTCAAAGCTTTAACTATTTTTAGAAGCTCCAATAAGTCCCCTCTATTCAAAAGAAGGATTGTTTGTATTATCTACAACCATATGTTATTTCTTATGTTATTTAATCCATTCAGTCTCATTATATCCCATAAGATCATATATAATTATATGAATTGTATGTCCATCTTGCTTTATTTAGTACTTTATTTAGTAAAAGGATTTTCGTAATCACATATGATTGTATTTTGTTATTTGGCTTGTTTCATTCAACTTGTTGCTATTGTCATGAATACCTCTAGCACCCATCAACTCCTCATTACTTTAAAGAAATGGACTTTTTTATGAATTCTAGCTAGATATATACACCCCATCATTCATTTTATTTATCTTTTAGGGATATATAGGACTATCACAATTTCCTTCAATGCTTTTTGATTTTTCTCATCTACATATTTATATCATATATCTTTTCAACCTTGAGAGAAAGATCAATCTAACAAACTTCAGTGACTTTTATAATATTCCTACATTACCTTGTCATATTTTTATATCTAGACTCTTTTAGCTCTATGAGATGACAAACCATTCCATCTTCAATGGCCTTCATAACCCTTATTGACCACCTTATCATAGTATTTGTAACAGCTCAAACTTTTAACTATTGATATATTGTTTGCTTTGGCCTAAGAGCCTAACAGTTTTGCCCTATTGGTGTAACTTTCTAGTAGGTCACCCATCTCAAAATTGCTCTGGGATGAGCACGCTTAACTCGTAGTCCTTTGCCTTGTATGACACTTAGCTCCCATCTTCCGGCTGGTGTATTGATTTGATATCATTTGTAATGGCCCAAACTCTTAACTATCGAGGTATTGTCCGCTTTGGCCTAAGAGTCTCATGATTTTGCTCTGTTGGTGTAACTTTACAATATGTTACCCATCCCAGAATTGTTCTAGGATGAGCATGCTTAACTACGGAGTTTCTTATATAAATTCTATCTATTACACCAAAAGGTGCCTCGATGTTTAAGAGTCAGGCTTTCTATTACTTAAGAGGTTTCACATTATTTAAGCCGTGTCATTTTCATTTCCATAGGATAACCAATTGTGAATGGTAAAATCTTATTATATCCTAGCTGAGAGAAAATATTGTATGCTCTAAGTGAAAAAAAAAAATGAAAGCAAGTTAAACTTAAGTTACTCATCTCAGAGGTAAGTGTAAAGCAATCACAAATGCATCAAACATAAGAGGTTTATATATAACGGTTTATTCATATGATCTATATGCACTATAATAAGAATTAAAAGAATATATCCATTATATATAAATAAAAATATATATTAAAATAATTAAAAATGTTCTTTATGAGCTTATATTACAATATATACATTCATACAATAAATGAAAATGAAGATAACATGATAAAGCTAGATAGAGAAAAAATGAGTAGTAGAGCAGGAAAATAGTTATAAGTAGAGAAAAAAATTTTAATAAGAGAAGAACTCCTTCAGAACTGAACTATACTCTTTTGAACTCACTTTTTACTATTAGTAAAGGAAGCTCCAAGATCTAGAGAGTGAAAAGTTTGAAGTTGTAAGGATTACAAAAAGTCTTCTTTAAGATTAAAGCTAGAGTATTTATAGGCATGCGTGCATGGTAATGTGCTAATAAGGATTATGTTATTATTATTATTATTATTATTATTATTATTATTAATTATGTGGATAATTAAGATGTTGTGCATGTTTAACATAATGAACTTTTAGGTATAGCCAGTGGAATAAATTAATATATGGAATGTTTTTTAGGCTAATAATATTTTGTGATGATTTAATAAGAGGGTAAAATAAAAATTATAAGGCCTAAAAAATTAAGTTACAAGCTACTACCACATGCAATTTATGAAACACACTACATAGACATTGGTTGAATTCTTAATGAGTAGTAGCGGATAATCTAAGAAAAATCATGATAATATTATAAGATTATTGGAAATGATAATTAATGATGCACAGATTTGCATTTGAAGAGTATTTTAATATAACTATGAGTTTTTGGCAACCCCCAACATGCATCCCTAGAGAGTCTTTAAGAGGTTTCTAATAAGTAATAATGATATGAAAGATTAGAATAAGTGATAGTTTTATTTGTGTTTATCCACATGTTAGGCATAGGTGATCCTAATAAATGTTATAATTTTTGGAGATAACAACTGATCCAACAATCTTTAATTAGATACTTTAATGAATTTCTTATACCCTCTCTTCTTGAATTTAGGTTACACCATCTCCTTGTTTAAGGTAGGAAAGATATGGTTATCTTCAGTGATTTCGATGATCTTTGCACACTATCTTATCTTTTACTTAAGGTTATAAAATTTTCTTTTATCTCTAAGAAAAAGAATAATACAATCACTTTCTTCTACCTCATCAATTTTATTATGTTATCAACATTTAGGATAGTAGAGAAATCTAAATTACACTTATTTTATTGAAAAATTATTTAACTTTTGAGAAGGATTTGTTATAGAACTCATATTTAGTATTAGTCAACTAGTTAAATCCAATCTTTTTTTCTCTTTCATGATTTTTTTGTACAAAAGTTTTGCAATCCATATTATTTATTTATCTGGTAATGTTTACGGGTAATCTTTCATAGCTAATGAGACCAAATTATCACTCAATAAATTTGGCTTCTCACATATTGCAGTAATTATCATGTGTCAAAAGTTATCTTCAGATGGGTCTACGAAGCCTGATATTGTAATGCATATATGATTAGTTAAAATAAGAGACAAGAAGGCCAACATAATAATTTTTTATCTCCAAAAAGATCTCGAGTTAGTGACTAAACTTAAATATGAATAAAAGCTAAAATGAATTTAGCTAAGTTTCACTTTTGAATTGAAAATTGAAAGCTCAAAGAAGAATTCGATTAAGCGTCCATTTACATTATCATTTTTTAGGGACTATTTATTTGTGTTTCAGAGAATGACAATTCGGTCCTTGACATGTATGATGGATAGATCAATCATGTCAAATTCGAGCTTTTTGTTATACGCAATGTCTTTTAATTGGAGACATTTTAGTCATCTAATCATTTAGAGCGGATAGAAACGAATCGCATCATGTGTTTCAGATTTATGTCAAGCCATCATTTCCTTGGTAAATATAAATAGATCAATCGCGATATGAAGATCTTAATTAGATGACTAGATCATTTTTCTCGATGATGATATGCTCGTTGGGAGCTTAGACTATCGACAAAAAAGTCTTGTGTTATGTGTTTAGCGCTCAAAAGTCCCAACAAAAATAAATATATTACTCATAAATTAACACAGGCTAACACCACACATTGATTTCAGGTACTGAAAAAACAGAATATGATAACACAATCATTAACATTGGTGGGGCCCATCTGCTAAATGGATAGCTAGGATGAACGGTTGGATGGGAGTCACACAGAAACAAACATAACAGAGAGAAATAGAAGCATAAAACTCATGACGTCGCAATGCAGTAAGGCTGCTCGAATATGAACAGCGGACGACGGAGCTCGCTACACCGCCGCATGTCATGGAGCAATTCTTCCCTGCTCCTCCTCTTCGAAGTAAATAGCAGCTTGGTTTCCGTCGTTGCGGACGTCGCCGGCGACTGCAGGCCCCACCTGCTGATGTGGCGGTCATGTAAGTAGTTGAATTGGAACCCCTCTGTGGTGGAAGTCAAAGTGCTCATTGAGGACGCCGCAACAGCCGCTGCCGCCGCCGTTGTGGCCGCGAAGCACGTTTTCTTGCCGGAGAATTCCGCTTTCTCCGGTGCCGGAGAACTGTACTCGGCTTCTCGCGAGCCAACTACGAACTTGTTGATGACGAGAGATGACCGGTGAACTTTGACGGCGGTCTGCGTGCTGACTTTGACTTCAACTGTAGTTCCCCTGTCTACAACTTCCACTTCCTCCTCCTCTTCATCCATTGTTTCTTCTTCCTCTTCTTCTGTTTCCTTCATTGTTTCTTCATCTTCCTCCTTGTTCTGTTGGGTGTTTTCAATGGAGGTAAAAACAGGAGAGTTTGTGCTTGGGGAGGTGTCTACAAAAGAGAGGAGAAGGCGACCACCACGGCGCTCGGCGTGGAGGTAGTTAACAGATGGGACGGGGACGGCTTGGACGATGAGTCGGCCGTCCCGGCGGTGAGGCTGCATCTTCAAGCAGGGGCCATCGCGACGGGAGATTGAGGGGAGGGGGGGAGGGAATGATCGCAGAGGCGATCGGCGCCCAATGGAACAGTGATAGTTCACATTAAAAACGTCTCTGTTTTCAGTCTCCCTACAATCGAACTCCCCTTCCTCCTCTACTTCTTCCTCCTCATTCTCTGTTTCGCAGGAGAAGGAGTCTAATTCATCGCCGGAAGAGAATTCATCAGAGCCAGTTTCGGAGCCGAGGTTCTCAGTGCAGGTCTCCAGGCTCTTTTGGCTCATTAGAATTGAATAACGACGCACGAGTGGATGGATGTATGTCGGTGGCGTCGCCAAATTCATGTTCTCCCTGTTAGTCTGGATTGAGTTCCAGATATCGAACCTCGTCTTCTCCTCCTCCCTTTCTTTTGTCTGAATTTCCGATTTCGGAGGCTGCGCCAGTTTCACCATTTCTGACAACCAAGAGTTTGCCACAGGCAGAACTGGCTCAAGAAGAGCTGCACGGCAAACTGCCACCGACATCTTTTTGATAAAAAAAATCCGCCTTATAAGTCCGTAGATCTCTCACTAAATGGGTATCAAAATCAGTTTTTTTTTGGCGGAGTATGGAGAGATAACTCTTGTAAGGCACAGTGTTTAGATCTTTTACCTTGGAAAATCTAAAACCAAAGAAGATTGACAGAAACTGATTCTTCTTCTTCTTCTTCTAGGTCTCTTCCTTTATCCTTCGAAGAGAAAGAGGCCGAAGGGGAAGAAGAGGAAGAGGACACAGAGAGAGGGGGAAGGGGAGTGGATTCTTGGGTGTGAAGTGAACGGCCTGTGTGGAGAAGAAGAAGGGTAAGGGGGGATATTTGTAGGAGGGAGAGCGGAAGGGAAGGACTGTGAAACTTTCTGCCGCGGCGGGCCTACTTGCTTTCCCTCAGTCTCTCCCTCGTCTTGCTTTCCTGCTTTATACCCCCTTATTCCGCCCCTTTGTTTTATCATATTATTCCTTGTCTAACTTTTAACTTTGCTTAGCTATGTAAGATTAGTACTGTTCTCCTCACTCAAATGATAAACACACAGAGGATATGAAAATGACTCTCTCCAATGTAATATGAAATAATAATTAACGTTTATATTATGTGTGATTATGCATTAAATATTTACATTTTTATTTGGGGGAAAAAAAGTCCGGTTCATAATTTTAAAAATGTTTTTAAAGATAATTTTTTAAAAGCAAAAATTTAAAATAGTGATAAAAATGTTTTGTTCTAACCACACATTATTTTTACTAACGGTTGTTATTATCACAAAAGCCGTTAAAAATGTGTTAAAAAAGGGAGATTTACATACATACCATCTTATACTATTCTATTTACATATTTAACACTTAAAACGTTAATATTACATACATACCACCCATAGTTCATTTTCATATAAAAAATGAGTGGTAGAAATGAAATATATGAGTGGTGGGAAAGAAATATAAGTGATATATTTGATATTAAAATAAAATAATATAGGGTGGTATGCATGTAATATTAAAGTTTTGGGTGTTAGACATATAAATAAGATGTTATAAAGTGGTATGTATGTAAATTTCACTAAAAAAATCTTAGGTAATTGTAGTATTACTATAAATTTATGGCATAAATTTCCTAGAGTAGCGTTACATATTTCAAAAATTTTAACTATATTCATATGTAAAGTTGTTGTTGTTGTTATTATTATTATTATTATTATTATTATTATTATTATTATTATTGTTGTTGTTGTTATTATTATTATTATTATTATTATTATTATTATTATTATTATTATTATTATTATTATTATTATTGTTGTTGTTGTTGTTGTTGTTCTTGTTCTTGTTGTTGTTGTCATCGTCGCCGTTGTTGTTATTGTTGTTATTATTATTATTGCAACATCAATGTTATATATATACATAATGTGTACATACACGTTAATGCCCTTAATAGATATCTTAATAGGTGGTGGTCGGGTCATGAAAAAGACACTCGCCTCAATTTTTGGACACTCCTTGAACCCACCAATCAACCTGTCATGCACAAGGCGATTTTAAGGGCGATGCATCTGACAAATCACTTGCCACTACCTCAATCATTAACTCTTGTTATAAAACCATTGCCCCTCACTCAAGCTCCGTTGCAGGAGGGTTCTCATTGGGGCGCAACGCTTGACCCATCAACACTCACAACTATATAAAACCTTAGCTTTCTCGAGCCCATCTAACTCAATGCTAGCTCACAATGTACAATCCACCATGGAGGTCCTCCTCTACGCCACTCGCCCGTACTAACTCAGCTTTGCTTCACTCAACCACAGATGAATCCTCCGCCTTAACTCACCCACCAGTCATAGGGTAACACATATGTATAATATGGTGTAATATTGTACATGTAATTTATATAGCATTGTTTTTTTTAATCTCTTTTCCATGTAGCCCCCAAGATCTCATAAATAAGAAGTGATGAGCGTCAAGACAATAGTTCTTAGAAGAGATCTCTAGGACTAGTATGTAATTTTTCTACTTGTTTGATATCTTTAGCCTTCTCCTATTGTTCTTCTATACACTCTACTTTCGTTTATGGTTCCTTTGCACTAAGTAGATCTGCTAGTAAGATCAACTATTATGAATCCAACACATAGCATACTTATTATAAGAAATTATTAATATCATAAAAAGAATATATTATAATGTAAATGTCATTTTGAATAAAAAAACAAACATATATATAAATATAATAATATTTTTCATCACATGTTTTTATTAATGAAGTAGCATACATTAATAAAAACATATTAAAACAATTAATAAGTCTGATATTCTAATTATCTTAATGACAATTTCATACACAACATTTAAATATTAATTATTTATAATATTATACTATTTAATCTATATTTTTAAATTATCAATCAAACATCAAAATGCACAACATAATTCTAACATGTATTTTATCTTTTTTAATCAAATATTATATAATTTAATTGTGACACGCATTAATATATAAATTTAATAAAAAAAATAACTTAGAAATTAATTTAATTAAAAAATCTTTATTATTATATGCATAATTATTTCTTAATTCTAGTTTATGAGGAACAAAAGAAATATAAATAACTTGTCTAAAACTATCTTGTGAAAGTAGCATACATCATTTGATAGATATGATTAGCGTAAGTATAGAAATACATAAATAAGCAAGACAAAGATAATTGCTGAATTGATTTCTTGAATTCACTTGTATTGTATTACATGTTATATATATATATATATATGAATATATATTCTAATACAATATGAAAATTTTGAATTTCACAAAAATAGAGAACACTTACGATTTATATTGCATGGGAAATACCCATATAAACCAAGAGTAATCACCAATGAAAAAAATGTAGTATTTAAGCCCTTGATGTGAGGTAACCGAAGAGGTACCCCATACATCAGAGTGAAGAAGAGCAAGAGGTTGAGAGGATTTTGTAGAAGAATGAGAGAAGGACAATTTGTGGCCTTTAGAGAGCTTACAATTTGAACAAACTAAAAAGGATGTGGGTATCTAAAGTGTTTTATTCCTGTTGGAGATGATTATTAGCACTTGATGATGTGGATGGCAAGGCGTTAATGCCAAATAGCTATAGCTTGACGAACAACAGATAGAGCAGGAATTTTGGATTTCAGATTTATGGATTAAAAGGGATATATACCATTACAATTTGGTCTCCCTTGAGAAGAACTTGGTTTGTTCTCAAGTCCTTGATGACCAAATTGTGAATATCAAATGAAATGGAAATAAGATTATCAATTAGATTTGATACTGAAAGAAAACTATAAGAAAGTTTGGTATATAAAGAAGTGGTGATAGATTGAGCTTACAATATGGTGTGGGAAGTATACCATTACTAGAATGAGCAATAAGTAGCGCTCGGCCAGCACCAAGGAGAATGATGTCATCACCATTAGAGGTTGTAGATTGTTTGAGATTATCTAGAGAATTTGTAAGGTGTGTTGAAGCTCTTGAATCTAGATGCTAGTCTGGATTTGATTGATTGATTGAAGCAAATAGAGCTTTTGGGGAATCCTTAGTTGTTGAATTAGACTCTGTAGGAGTATAACTCATATTCAACCTGTTCCAACATGACGATGCAGAATGACATCTTTTATTACATATTTGAGAAATGATATGGCTGGTTAATGATGTTTTATTAGTTTGCACATATGATCTCCCGCGTCCTCTTCCTATATTTGTATACAATGTTGTAGATTAATATTTATAGTCAGTTGACTTAGTGACTCATCATTTATATTAATCTGTTTGCTAATTAATAACAAGTAGAGTTCATCAAAACTAATCGAATGCAACATTGTTTGAATTGATGTCTTAAACGCCTTATAAGATGGTGGCAGTCCATTCAAGGTGTACAAGATTATATCTTTAGTATACACATTAGAACTTGCTGATGCAATGTTAACAACTATGGTTTTAATCTATGTTAGATATTGAGCCATATTTAGATTTTTCATTTTGACATTTTGTAACTCATTTTTGAGTTGCATCACCCTTAATATGTTAAACACTTGTAAACGATGCCCTATAGTTGTCTAAATTGCATAGTAAAAATTGAGGTGAAACACATATGAAAATATTGAAGAAGAAATTGTAAAACATGTTGCAGCTGCTAAATTTTTATCAATAAGAATCCATTCGATGTACCTTGAGTTTATTATTGTAGTATTATTTAGTAAGTGGATCAACCGAAAAGGAGGTGACATTGTGGGGAGAAGAAAGGGTGCGAATCCATTTGCATTTAGTAATTTTAATATATGAGATTTCCAAACTGAGTTGAGAAAGCTGAGTAGATACAATCGTTTTGATGTTTGACATTACAAATTTGAGAGAGGCAAGAATACTGGCTTGTTCAGTTGGTGTAGCATGCGGTGGATTACCGATCTTTGATGCAGAGAATTGAGTCATGAAGGGTTTTTTTTTAACCTGCTCTAATACCATGTAGAAATACATAGATAAGCATGACAAAGATAATTGCTAAATTTATTTCTTGAATTTACTTGTATTGTATTACATGTTACAAATATATATATAGTTGGAGAATACATGTTCTAATACAATAATTCAAGATATGGGATTAATTATATAGCTACTATTAATAAGGACTTAGGTCTTGTATGGGACAGCTTTCTTAAAGTAATATTTTAATACAAAAATTTGTTTTTTAAGAATTTTTTGTATTAAAAAGCTGCTTTAGGAAATCTATTAGAAAGCTATTCCAAATGAAGCCTTATTCTCATATAATTTTTTTATATTTAATAAAATTTAAAATTTAATATAATTTATTTTAAAAATTGTAATAGAATTGGCATAGTTTGATAAACACATATTGTTTTATATTAAATTGTTAGTTAATTCAATGCGGATTTGCTAATTGGATTTTTTCCCACACAAACTGATCTAAGAATATTTTTGCATCCACATGGTAAAAGATTGGAACAAGAGGAAACATAGCATAAAAAAACATAAAATGCAACACAAGAGAGATTAATAATAATATTTACTTATACAAATGATAGTTTTTATTAATTTTTATAGGTATATCACTGTAAATTATCATATTTATTAATATATCACTATTTTCTTACAATTATTAGTGCATTATCTTATTCTAATTATTATTCACTTATATGCCCATACTAATTAAATGTGAAGATTGTAGACCCAAATATATAGTACTCGCAACACACAAGGCTTAGTTGAGTTTATCTTAGAGGAGCTCGATCAAGGGATGTAATCATCTAAGATGTGGCCCACTTTGATGGGGAACCGCACCAACAAGATTTGATATGGTTAGATACTTGACCTAGTGGAGCTTACTGTGAAGGAGCTCAACCAATGAAGCCCATGTACATCTCGGACATGTTTGTCTGGGGAAGGAACTCCTCTTAATTGGCCTTGACCTTGTGATGTTCTCGCCTCATGAA